CCCCAAAACCCCAAAACCCCAAAACCCCTAATGGCCAATCAATTTTAAATAATCAAAGAATTAAATTAAAAATATACAAATAAATACTTATAATTTTTGATTCTATAAAAATTTTAATACATCACAAGCATATGCTCATTATATAATCTGATCTTAGTTTTTATTCATAAAAGCTGCTTTTTTAATATAAAACATAACTTTTCCTTCTTTTTGTAATTTCTTCTTCGTTTATTTTAAATCACTTGCAATACTTCCAGCTGCCTTAGTTGCTATTTGCATGTTCAACTCTTTAGAATTTGGGGATTAGATATTGAAAAATCTTCCTTTAATATCTCTAGGCCTTCGATTTGCATGCTTAATTCTGCTATCATAAAAGGGGGAAGAGTTTTTAAAATTCCTTTTATGCTTTTTATGAAAATAAATCTTTAACTTTTATAATCGCTAGTCTCTGCTATAAGGCTTGCCCAATATCAAATTACCTATTATCTTGTATTTGCTCTCATTTTGTTCATTTGGTTTTTATTAGTTTTTTTCGACTTAGAAATATTTTTTATACTATTTACCTATAAGACTAGTTCTAATTTACTCTGAATAGTAATCAATGATCTCCAAGTCCAAATTTTAAAGGAAAAGTAAAAATTGCTCTTTTATATATTCAGTCATGCTATCATCATCAGGTATTGGCTTTGTAAATTCATTAACAAAATCTCGCTGCTTCTATTTCAAAAATGATCTATATTCTATCATATCAATGTTTGGGCACTTTGCTAATTAATTAACAAATTCATCATTTAGCTCCTTAATAAAACTAAGATATCTAATCACAGTCTAATTTACATCACTTTAGGGATAATTTAATTCTTAAGTGACTATTGATTATTACGTTTCATCTACTCCTTCAAGATTATCCTCTTAATGATGAATATCTCTATAGTCCTCATTCTGTTATTATTGCTTGTTATAATAATTGTTATTTTATTCCATCAAATAATTTCATAGTTGCTCTCTTAAGTCTTATGATTGTAATTGCTACTGCTATTAACTAGGAAAGCTATTTTGACATAAGGTTTGGCTATCTTCCTCATTAAATTTTTCTACTTCATCTCTTTAAGATGTGTCTAAATCTCTTGGCAAGTTATACTGATTACAGCTCATATTATTATGTATTTGATCTCCTTATATTATTATATTTACTGGCTAAATTTTATCTGTAATAACTGGACTATGGTGAGTCATACTGCTTGCATAATATCTTTACGAATTTTGTAACGGATTGATACAACAATTGAAAAGTCCAAGTGTTGACTCTGGCTAGTAATTATTAACGAAATTTTAATTGTTATAGAGTTAAGTCTGATTAAATAAGGATTAATTATGAATGGTGCTTTCTTAATAAGATGAAATATTCATTTACTATGAGTTGAGCAGGAAGCTATTATTATTGATATATTTCAAAGTATTGGTCTTATTTTTGCCTTGAAGTCTATTGACTGATTACTAATGCAACTAGCTATTATTTATAATCTGAATTGGAGGAGGTAGTTGAAATTAGTCATTCTCTTTAGGTTGATTATTTATCCTGATTTGATTACTTAGGTTATTGTTGTTAGTATTCGTATTATTGTTGTTGTTGCTTCCATAGAATTAGAGCCTATGAATCTTGATGTCTCGACTCTAGTTCATATTGATGCTAGATTACGTAGTTAATTTGCGAGCAGTTGGAACTGGAGTCAAATGCAATATTTACGTATGATGAATATTTGAATTTGTATTGTGAGTGTTGTCCATCATCTTATAAATATTATTGTTATCCCAGTTCCTATTCAATAGATGCTCTACATGAACATTTGAAAAAGTATTATTATTATTGTTATAATCTCGTGTGTTATTGAAGTTGTTATCAAATTAGGAGTCTTAACGCCACAGATTTATATTAGACTGATTTTCATGTGATATACTGGAGACACTTGCATTGAATCTATGGATATCATTACTTTTGAGAAAAAGTTTATTATATTATTAATTATTTTCGGTCTTTTTCATTTATTTAATTATACTTTTGGCATCCTCATTTCTCTATTTTTAATTTAATCATTTTATGTTATAATTTGTTTAAATCTTGAAAGTATGGGGTTTTGGGGTTTTGGGG